CCGAGGACCCGGGCGATTTTGATTGAAAACGAAAACGAAACGAGAGCGGAGATCAGCGGAGAGGCGAGCGCGCACGCGGCCCGCAACCGTGTCCACGGGAATAGACGGGAGGCGTGCCCCACAAGCCGCTGCCCGAGTCCCCCACGCACACGTATATCCCCGCAAGAATATCCGCCACGTGGACGGCCCACGCTCGCCGACCACCTTAACCAATCACCACTTCCTTCTTCACCTCTTCCTCCTCACACGGCTTCCTCCACCACCTCCAGTCCTCCACCACCACCACCACCATTCCTCTCACCTCACGGCACGCGCAAACCGGCCGAACCCTAGCTGGCGGCGGGGGGCGGAGGCGGCGGCGGGATGACGCGGCGGTGCTCGCACTGCAGCCACAACGGGCACAACTCACGGACGTGCCCCAACCGCGGGGTCAAGATCTTCGGGGTGCGCCTCACCGATGGCTCGGCCATCCGCAAGAGCGCCAGCATGGGGAACCTCTCCCTCCTCTCCGCGGGATCCACCAGCGGCGGCGCGTCCCCCGCCGACGGGCCCGACCTCGCCGACGGCGGCGCCGGGGGATACGCCTCCGACGACTTCGTCCAGGGCTCCTCCTCCGCCAGCCGCGAGCGCAAGAAAGGTCAGCTACCGCCCGATCTATCTCTGCCCCTCCCCTCTAATCGATCATCCACCCGCTACCGCCCGATGCAGAACCCTAGGCAATAGATCCTTCCAGGCAGCTCTAACCAGCTCCAAGCTTTTCCATTCGTTTGTCTCCTGTCTGCCTACTCGGCTTAGTACTTTTTTTTAGATGCGTGCACCTGGTGCTCAGTGATTAGGTGCCTCTAAGTTTGGGAAACGGGTACTGCTCCAGCTGAGAGAAAATCATTAATGGTACTACTACCACACTGCGCGTACTCCTACAATTGTATGGATAATATTGTACTAGTTGAGTTGATACACATGGTACTCGAATTCAACCCCTAAATGGTACAAGGACCACCTCTGGAGGCACTGTACTGTTTGACTGGGTCATGGGGATGCTTTAAGAAGCTCAGCTCTACAAATTTTTCAGAACAAGGGTTATGGATTGTTCTGAGCAGTGGTGTCAGTTGATTTTGATGAAATTTCTCACTGATTGGTGATGCTGAATGACTGTGGAGGTAGAGAGCTGTGTAATCAGGAAGGATATGCCGAGCAATAGAAACCGCTGCGCTAACTGCTAACGCATAGTCTTTTGTATGCCATACATGCGCCAATGGCCAAGGTCTGGTGTAAATGTGCTACTGCACTGGGATGCAATCACTATTGCGCAGTGCCAAGTTCCAGTTGTCCATACTTGATAAGGAAACAAGCTTTTCTATATGTAATGGGCAAAATCAAATGCTTGATTAATTAGTACCAATGGTCTGCAAATTTTATATTTATTGCTAATTAATTATTGCTCCTGATTCTTGTGAGATTTGAGCGAACATTGATAGCTAGTTCTTGGTTTACACTTGGTGGTGGGTGCTAGGTGATTTAATGTAAGTCTAGTGGCACCTTTCTTCAGATTATGCAATTTTTTTAGCTCTGTTCTGATTTCGTGCTGTTTGGCTAGTCCTCTATTTGTCAATGGTACCCTTCCTATATGATTTGTTTAATAGCGAAGTGGTGGTGCTAACTTTTACCATACTCGGTTTATATGCCGCTGTTCATTCATTTCAGTTCACTGGCTTCTTGTAGCTTCACATATTGCTGCCTGGCTGCGTTTTGGACTTTGTGTGTCATGTTGCTGATTAAGGTTGCTCTGACAGGTGTTCCTTGGACTGAAGAAGAACACCGGAGGTTTTTGCTGGGATTACAAAAGCTTGGGAAAGGTGATTGGCGAGGAATTTCTCGTAATTTCGTGGTCTCAAGAACACCTACTCAAGTAGCAAGTCATGCTCAAAAATATTTTATACGGCAATCAAATATGAGCAGAAGGAAGAGAAGGTCTAGCCTTTTCGACATGGTGCCTGATGAGGTAACTTGCTTGATCTTAGCCTTGATTTCTGCACAAATACTGCTTGCTATGGCCTTGTTTTGTACTCATACATGTGTTGTAACTACACTATTGCTTGTTTTTGTGGTAATAATATATATATATATATATATATATATATATATATATATATAATCATATTATTTATACTAGTGCAACTTTTTGGATCTAGTTCTGTAGCTTCTATATTTTACTGACAGTCGGTGTTTGCTGTTTAAACAGCGTGTAAATGGTAAAAGGCCAACTGTGTCGTTTAGGCCCTAAACATTCCATTTAATGGTTGGACTTTTTAAAGCCGTTTAAACCATCAAAAACGGTGTAAATGGCTTAAACAGAATAGAGTTAAACATAATTAAATGGGCTAAATTGCCGTTTAACTCACCATTTAGTCAATAGGAGGATTACAACTATCACATTGACACCAAACTAATTAACATTGTAATGGTGGAGTGGGATCTAAGTTTCCTTCCCAAAAAGATTTATTTGCTACGATACATATTTTAATGTGTATACTTTCTAGTATATTTGACTTTTACATACATAAATATGTATATTTTAGTGGTACTATACAAAACTGTTTAGATTGTTTAACTCAGTTTAAACACCGTTTAAACATCCTAAACAGTAAACAAAAGGTGACTGACTGTTTACCATTTAGCGTTTAGGATAGCACTGCTGACAGTTATGCACAGTGTCATATCCTTAATCTCATTAGGTAGTTCTTAGGGCCTGTTTGGTAGTGCTTGACTTCTTGAAGCTCTAGCTCCCTGATTCTCTGGTGGAGCGATTTTGGTGGGGGAGAGAAGTGATTTATAGTGATTCTGCTGGGGATTAAACGGAAAGCGGTGAGGATGGATTTTTTAGCCGTTTGGCTGTCCAGGAGTGATTCTTAGAGAGAATCTGTAGCCTTACTTGTGCTTTGCATATAATCTGAACTGAACTGTGCTCTGTTTGTTTTACAGTCCATGGACCTTCCACCCCTTCCTGGAAGTCAAGAACCAGAGACCTGTGTGTTAAATCAACCACCACTGCCTCCTCCTGTGGAGGAGGAGGTGGAATCGATGGAGTCAGATACTTCTGCTGTTGCAGAGAGTTCTGCAGCTTCTGCTCTCATGCCTGAGAGTTTACAGCCTACCTATCCGATGATTGTTCCAGCTTATTTCTCACCGTTCTTGCAATTCTCAGTTCCTTTCTGGCCAAATCAGGAAGATGGAGGCGATCTGCCCCAAGAAACACACGAGATTGTCAAGCCTGTTGCAGTTCATTCCAAGAATCCAATTAATGTTGATGAACTTGTGGGCATGTCAAAGCTAAGCATAGGGGAGCCTGGTCAGGAGACAGTGTCTACTTCTCTGTCGCTAAATCTGCTAGGGGGTCAAAATAGGCAGTCGGCTTTCCATGCAAATCCTCAAACGAGAGCTCAAGCCTGATCCCCCATCAGCACAGAAACTGCATTTAGATGGAATCCTGGGCAAAATAAGCTTTGCCTCTTTTTTCTTCTTCTATATTTAAGATTAACCGTGCTCTGTAGCTTGTATCATGTGCTGTAAGTTATGCTATGTATGAATGTACCTGTTGTTTGTCTGGCACGCATGATATGACACTCTTATGTTAACAAAGTCATTAATGTTAGTGCTGATCTTTATGGTTGTAATGTTGTAAACTTTTTCCAAGAAAAAAGTATTAGCCAGTTCTTGTCAAGTGCACTCAGTTCTCTACCTGATGTTTCATTGCTGAAGATGATGCTGGTTAATCGCTGGCCATGCAAAACTCTTTTTTTCTTTCTTTTTGATGAAGCAGCACGGCACAATTGCACAAACTGTTTGATTGATCTCGTGCAACAACTGTACATGGTTTCACTTTATCACTTTGTTTTTTGTTTGTTGTAACCGTGCCCAGCACAATTGCACAAACTGTTTGATTGATCTCGTGCAACATGCTTGTGGAATATTCTTTCGAATTCTCTTGGGTAGAACCGTATCTTTCAATCCTCTCATTTCCATTCTGACCTAGTGTTTATATGTGGTTGGTGACAGTACTGACAAGTGACAAGTCCCTTTCAGCTTATCTTGGTTATCCAACTATCCAAACACAGGACACAATGTGACTTTTGTATCTTCAGCAAAAAGTCTCTCGCTTCGTGCGCGCTAGTGGCTGCAAAAGTTTCAAGAATCATCGAAGATCGTTTCACCAGCAACATCGGTTCCTTCCGCAATTTATTATCTCCTTTCCTCTGGTGACCAGTGATATTATCTTTTTGAAAAGAAGGTACGAGTGCTGCCATCATCAGATAAAAAGAAGGGAGAGAAGAATTCGAACATTAAATAAGAAAGGTCTGCTGAAAACGGAAACATGCATCAGACAACTCCTATAGTACTTTGATCAGTGATTTCAGGAAAGGACCATCAATTTGTTAGGTTGATTTGCTTTTGACAGCTGATGAACATAAAAAACAAAGGGCACGGCTGTTTCTACACTGTCATATAGTACTATATCATTTCTTGATTCCTACCTTTGGCATGGCCATGTGTAACTACTGACAATGACAACAGATAAGTTAGTTGTATATTACATACAATTCTGTATTTCTGACTTACATCAGCTAATCACAATCCTATGTTTCCCTTGCAGGTTTGATCAAATACACTTCAACAATCCTTTTCTTTTCAATAATGCTTTTCTCTGTACTGAAGTAACTCATCAGTAGTGTGTGTTCTCAGCATCATCAACTTGTTAGGTAAATTTTCCTTTTACAGCTGAACATGAAAGAAGAAACAGCAGCGCTGTTTCAACATTCTTGTTATATCAGTGCTTCTGTACTCTTTTAACATTTGGAACGGTCAGTTGTAGGAACTGACAACAACGGCAGACTGATAAATTACTCGAGTTACATGCAATGTACATTTACATCAGCTTGTCGCAATCGTTTACTATGTTTTCTTTGCACTTTTTGATCAAATACACCCAACTCAGAAAAGTACTACAAGCCCGACAAAGCTATCTTTCCTGCTCCTGCTTCTTTCTTATCCTCTTCCTCCCCTACAACCTTCTTCCAGAACCAGTGCCTCTTCCAGACCTGTTCCATCTGCTCCATGGGCAGCTTCTTTGTCTCAGGTAGGAAAAGATAAACAAACAATGTCATCAAGCAGATCCATCCACCAAAGACAAAGAACGTCGCCGACTTGATGCGACAAAGGACCTCAAGAAACGTCTGGCCAATCACAAATGTCATCAAGAAAACCACAGCGACCACAATGCTCTGCCCTGCGGACCTGATCTCCAGTGGACAAACCTCAGCAGGGACCAAAAAAGTAAGAGGGCCCCATGACCATGCAAAGCCTGCAACGAACACACACATTGTGATCAGCACTAGGTATGCATACCCATCATCCATTTCCTCATAGTCCTTGAACTTTGCAGCCAGGATTGCGCCAACAGTAAACTGCGAAAGTATCATCTGCACACCGCCTACAAGGAAGAGCTTCCTGCGCCCAAACCTGTCAACCACCATCATCGCTATGATGTTTGCAAATGTTGCACATAGGCGTGTCACCACCGAGGACAAGAGGGATGCGCTCTCCTTGAGACCAATTGTCCTGAACATGACCGGTGCATAGAAGTTCATCACGTTGATCCCAGTAACCTGATTGAAGAAAGAGATCAACAGTGCTACTACAAGCTGTGGCCTGTACTTCCTCTTGAGTATGTTCCTGAATGGATACTGGGTTGCTCTTGAGAGGTTGCTAGCACTGACCAAGTCATCAAGCTCTTTCTGGACCGAGGTTGTTCCACGCAGCTTCTGGAGTAGGACCCTTGCCTTGTCCGTGTTGCCATCACATTGGATTATGAAGCTTGGTGTCTCAGGGAGGAAGATTGCGCCGATGGTTAGGAATGCAGCAGGCAGTGCAGCCATGGACAGGGATATCCTCCATCCCCATCCTGCTGTAATTTTTATGACAAAATAGTTGAGAATGTTTGCAAAGAGAATGCCAAGGCTGACGCAAAGCTCAAAGCCATTGTTGATTGCCCCACGGTATCGGGGTGGCGCCATTTCTGACAGGTACAATGGGATTGACTGCAAATGTAATTTGCATAGTATGATATTAGTGCAGTTCTAATTGTTCTTTGGGAGAAAAGGGATATTAAGAAAGACATGCATCTAGTATAGTCTACAGGTCATAAGGAATTATCTCCATAAGAAACGTGATTATAGGACAGTACTATTCAGACATTGACGTGTTAAGACTTTTGGTCTTGGTGCTCTTGTACATGAATTTCTGAACAGTCACTGTTTTTCTACTAGCTATTCTATTAATAGCCAGTAAATATAACTGCAAGTTGAAACTAGAAAGTTCAGATTACAACACAACTTTTACTTTCCAGCTAAATTGTATCTCCACTCTGATACATAATCACTTCACTTGTTGAAAACTTGAAGGTTGTTTAGTAAGCACTAACTCTGTAAGGGAGCACAATCCATCAGCAACGAAGACACTTGAAAGTCATAATAAGCCAAACATGTAACTTTGCTCAACTTTAGCGATCTATTGTTGCCAAATGCCAACTTGGGAGCTGAACAAATGGCATCCCAAGAACCCTTTGTTTTTAATCACTCAGTCCAACTCAATGAAATACTTGACTTATCTACAAAAGTTGGATCTCAAGTCTGATACTGATTTCATAGCCAGACAGGATTTTCTGAGTTCATGCCAGATATACTGCATAATACATTTAATTTCCAATATCTAGATATTAGAACATTCATCCGGCATGAAACTGTTGTGCTGATTTCTTGAACTATATAACATGTTATAAGCAATTCAAAGTCTTTTCTACTTGAATGTGCTAGACTCACCATACGTAGGCCTTTGTTCCCTTCAAATCTAAATTGTCCTATATGTGTGACAAAGGGAGTACTGCACAACCGATTTATGATCTTTTGAACTAAATATGTGCCCTCATAAATACTGATTCAAGCATATAAGTTACCTGATTAGTGAACCCCAGACCAATGCCCAGTAGAATCCTGTTAATTAGGAGCATGGGAACATTGCTGGCTGCACCACCGAACACTGAGCCCACGATGAAGACAGTGCCGCCGATGAGCATTGATGTGCGGCGGCCATACCTCCTTGTGATGGATGCTGCAGCCAGAGTTGCAACAAGGCCGGCAATATATAGGGAGGACGTGAACACGGTGAGGAGCTCGCTGTTGAACTCGCAGTAGTGGCTCACTTTGCTGTCCTGCTTCTGACGGTACACCCTTGGGAAGAACCTCTTCAGGAAGGAGTCCATTGAGGTAACACCACCTATCAGACACACACAGACCTGAAGACACTGAAAAATTCACCAATTCCATTGCTAGAGATTACTATGGTACGATTTTTCTCCTAGGCTCTCTACACGCATAAAGGAAACAGGTTGATACTATATTGCCAGGTTGCAGTTTCAGAAAAGACAATGAAGCTAGTGGCACTACCAAATCGCGTATACTAATATTACACCCAAGGAGAAAGCGAGAGTAACCGCGCGAGCGGGACGAACCGGAGATGCCGAGGTCGTATCCGAAGAGGACGCCGCCGCTGCCGGCGACGACGCAGGACAGCACCACGAAGGGCGTCACGCGGCCGCTGTAACCTTCCCCGCCGTCCGCCGGAGCGCCCTCCACGGACGCCCCGATCGCCATCGATAAATACGTCCTCCCGGCCGCCTGATCTCACTCGCTCTAGCCCCTATCCATCCAGCTTCAGCTTCTCCTCGGCAGGCCGAGTGTGGAGTGTGACGGCTAATAAACGACGCTGCCACTACTAGCATTCGGGTGGGTGCTGACGTGTCCACTCGCCGACTCCGCCCGCTTCGAGCACTCCCAGCATCGGAATGACTACGGAAAAGAACACGTATATGGTCCCATTTGTCAGTTTTTTTTTAGAGAGGTGAACTTCTAAGCAGCTTCTGGTGTCATGAGCTTTTCTTGGGCTGCTATGAAACTGAGCCCAATAGGAAAGTGTGGATTATCTTACTCATAGGGCCCATGAAATTCACTACGGAGTGGAAAAAGGACAGAAAAAAGGCAGGCCCATCTTAAAGAAGCATTTCTTACCAAGAAGATGTACCAATTATTTACTAAAGAAATCTTACATACACATCTTAATAGGTGGTGACTTTAATATCATTCCAAATAAGAATAATGCCAATTATGATGAAAGGGTGACCTTTTTCCATTCAACGCAATTATTGATGCTTTCAACTTGCGAGAATTGGAACTTTTGGGGTAGGCAGTTTACTTGGCAATGCCTTCAAAAAGTTGGACAGAGTCCGATCCTTTCTTCACTGAATGGGAGGTACATTTTCCACGTACCATTGTACGTGCTCTATCATGTGAAATCTTTTAGCATAATCCTTAGTATCTTGACACGAGAACCTTCTATTGGTAATAGTTTACCTTCTATTTTTTGGAATATTATTAAGGATGACGTAACCATTCTCTTTGCAAAATAATACAATTAATATATATTGCCCAAGTGCAATGAAGCTAAAAGAAGCCCACCAATATAGGCCCATTTGCTTGTTAAATGTTAGTTTCAAAATATTCACAAAAGTAGCCAGTGGTGGACCCAGGAATTGAACCGAACCTGGGCGAAGTCAAAGTAAGTTTTCTTCTTCATCTTAGTATAGAAGAGGGTTACAACCACAGACCACGAATATGCTACTTTTTTTTTCATGACCACGTATCTAAGCACATTTTTATTAAGAAGAAAAAGTTATAATAATGCATGATCTTAGTAAATATAGGCTTATTAAGATCAATACGGCCTCTGCAAGAGTAGTCTTATAGTATGGACCTAAGCCTCTTCTGACATTATACATCGTGCTAGCGTCAGGCCGAAGGTGGTGATGCATGTTGGTTATGTGGTCTCAAGAAATCCCGTCAAGTGATCGTGAGTTCGTTTAATTTGCACTCTATAAGGAGTAGCTATTCATTTGCTGCATAATCCTAGTTTTGGATAGTGCGTACTAGCTAAGGAAATATGAAGTTACCCGTAATATAATACATTCAGGAGCCACAAACACAGAAGCATGAGATACATTAGAGGTTTGACAGTGGCAATGGTAGTAGTTTTACTAGAAAGTGATATGTGCCAGCTAGTGTCGTACGTTCGTCACCTAGCAATAGCAGGTGCTCCGCTCAGCTCAGGCTCAATTTGCTTGACAGGCGTTCAATTTTCTGTAGCAGCGATTGTAGAATACCACTAAAAAAAAGTGCTGGAGCCCGGGCAGCCGCCCACGCTCGCCGGGCCTTGGGACCGCCCTTGAAAGTAGCTACTAACAGGATATTGTAAAAGTTGCCCAAAGAACTATCAAATCATCACAGACGGCTTTTCTCCCAAGCGAAATATTATGGATGGTGCAATGATTTTACGTGAAACTATACATGAGTTACACACGAAGAACACTAGTACAAATCTGTTCTTCTATGACGAAAATCTTAATGACTAATACTAAACTATCCTAGAAGATCGCTTTCTCTAACGAATATTTTCGTTTCGTCATGGATCATTGGTGGCGATCCTCTAACCCTCCCTATCTATGACGAAATCAGATATCGTAAAAAAAATCATAGAACAACATAGGGTTTCGTCATAGATCGTGCGACTGTTCCTACTCATCTGTGACGATCGTCTTTACAACTGTGACGACTAGAACTTCGTCATTGAACTAAATTACACATCTGTGATGAACAGTTTTCGAACTGTAACGAACGACACTTCGTCATAAATCTCCACATGGTCCTTTCTCCATCCGACGTATACCCATGGGACCCACGATCACTCATCCGTGACGAACGGTTTTACAACCATAACGAACGCCACTTCGTCATAAAGTCTCGACTGATGTGTACCTGTGGGACCTGCAGTTACTCATCCGTGACGCTTGCAATTCGTCATAAAGTCTCCGCTCGGTCCTTTCTCCATCCAACGTGTACCTGTGGAACTCTTCTCCATCCAATGTGTACCTGTGGGACTTGCAGTTACTCCTCCGTGACGCTTGCAATTCGTCATAAAAGTCTCCGCATGGTCCTTTCTCCATCCGACGTGTACCTGTGGGACCTTTCTCCATCCGACCTATGGGACTAGATGGCTCGCGTGTCACATGTACCTGTGGGACCTTTCTCCATCTCCATTCGACCTGTGGGACTCAACGGCTTGCGTGTCACTTCTACCATGTGTGCTACCAGGGTTTAATTTCTCAAAAAAGGTATAATATCTGAGAGTCAAATTTGGGACCTGGACCAACGAATGGAACGTCTTTACCATTGTGCTAGACGCCTGACTGTGTTGATAACTCTTTGGTGTCGTTATAGTATCCTATTGTCTATGTGGATTCCCTTCAGGTTGACCTAAATTGGATATCCCCTGAAAGTATAAACAAATCTGTGCCCGCTGGACTTGCAGCGGCGACGGCGAAGGCAGAGGCGGAGGATCCCCGGTCTACTATGGTGGCTTAGGCGTCCTTTTGGAGGCGTGGCGGGGCTTTCCCGGTGGAGCGTGGCAGCATTAGCGTCCGCGTGATCAGGTGTGTGCTGCGACAGAGGCAGCTTGCAGTCGAGCCATGCTAGTTCGTAGAACAAAGGTATGAGCATCTTCTTCAGTGATATTTTTTGTACACGATAAAGTAAAGTACACATAAAGAAAGGCTATTCTATACGAATTTTAATTAAAATCAATGCTTTTGTCACACAAAAATAGAAAACCACACTGTCCCATAGTATGATATGAACAAATACACAGATTAGTGCTCTCGAACACTGTATGCTTTGTTCTATTGCTAGATTTGTTATTGTCCATCTAGTGGTCTAAACTCTAACAGAATTTGCATACTTTTGCTGCGACAGATGGATAGAACCTGGATTACTGATGGGATACCATTCACGACAACGTTCGTGGCAGGAGTTAAAGAGTTCACCCAGTGGGTTAAACAAAGATATCCAGGGCTAAATATCCCTTGCCCGTGTCAAAAATGTTTTAACCAGGTGGATCATACTTGGCAGGATGTGTACGACCACTTGTAAGTGGAATCTCGCCTACATACACCAAATGGATTCATCGTGGGGAAGAATCTTTAGGTACCGACATTATAGAGCCATCAGAAATGCATGGATCTCATCATGATGGTAGGATTGCAGAGGAGGAGGAGGAGGAGGACGGCGACGATAACACATTCCCAGATATTGATTTAGTTACAAACCTATTGACATCTTAAGAGCGGGCTGGAAGAGAGCCAAAGTTTAAAAGAGTGTTGGCTGATTTGAAACAATCAGTTTCTTCTTAATCTAGCTACTTAAGATTCTCCTTCCTTGTCAGGTTGTTGTTGACGGTCGTTAACATCTGTCGGCGTGAAAACATAGTAGACACGCCGAGGGACACGTAGCAGCCGGAACGATCCGGAGATCTGCTTGGCTTCAACGCAGGACCAGTCGATCCTGTGAATTCCCGAAGACATGCTAGTCATTTGACCTGTAATTGACAAGGAGATAAAGTTTATTAGTAATTTAGGGTGGAAGATGCCGGTTTTGACCAGATAGTTATAAGTGTGCCGCTTCGGAGGTAGCCAAACGGAAAAATCGACTAAATAGCCAATACAAGAAGAAATCGACTGTTAAGGACTGTGACGCTCATGGGTCATGATTGATTTATAATAACGAGCACAATGCACCTAGTTTTTAATGATCCTTTCCCTTGAACTATCAAATATGTATGCGTCAAAGATACATCATTGGCTATATCAGATTTAATCAATGTATGGTGCAAAGCCAATGAATTCGGTAAAAGGGATATACCATGCAAACAATCGACTATTTAATATAAAAGGATCTACGAACTGTATAGATCTAATTTATTACCACCAGCAGTGAGGTTCGACCGGATCGATACAACTATAATGATGACAATAATCTAAAACCAGAAAATCCATAAAACCGAGTATATGTCAACAAGTTCATGAAAGCATGCCATATTTGTGAAAGCACGGACGAATCGGCTAAAATAGCGATTCAGATAGAAAAATGATTATAACATGTGAATAATCGACTATTTAATATGAACAGATTTATAAACTCATCAATTCTTACCTATTATTTTTAACAGTGGGGTTCGACCGGATCGATGGCAGCCATAATAAAGATAACAGATTAAACCTTTAAAATAAACAGCTCTATTCATATTTAACAGAATCATAAAAACATACTATAAGCGTTAAAGTACGGGCAATCGGCTATTTAGCCGATGCAGGCATAGCAAACAGCCAAGGTCATGCCTGGTCGAAAGCAAATCTATCAACTAGCATACTTTGATTTAAAGTGCTAACAGTGGGGATCGACCGAATCGTTACAACCTTAATAGCAAGCTATAGACCAGATTCAACTAGCTAGTAAACCTAGTCAAGATCAGACATGCCTTGGCCACTTACTATGCACGATCAATATCAAAGTAGAACTACCGATAAAACATGATCCATCGTTTGAAGTAAAAAAATATCACAATATAGCAAAATAAACGATGGACTAAAAGAATGTGAGGCCGATCTAGATCGATCTCGATCGGGCAGGTTGATATTGCTAAAACTAATGACAATAAGAACATCAGCTAAAATAGCCGATTCAGGTAGAAAAAAGATTATAACATGTGA